CCAACACATAAGAAACACAAGAAAACAACCTAATATCCAATCATATGGAGCTGATATCTCTATCATCTCCATAAATAGGAAAAGAAAGAAAAGAAAAGCAAGGAAACAAACAAACAAAAATCCCCAAATCCATTAAAGAAATCCAGTGAAACAAAAACAGGTTAAGGTAATGATTAAAATCATTCAGGATCTGAAAATGGAAATAGAAACCATAAAGAACAAAACAACTGAGGGAATCATGGAAATGGAAAATATAGGTGAACAGGAACTGCAGAAGCAAGTATCACCAACAAAATGCAAGAGATGGAAAAAAGAATCTGACACATAGCCTATATGAGAGAATAATTTGATATTTGATAAGAAGACTATATAAATTTAAAAAGTTGCTGACACAAAACAAATCTAGAAAAAAAACAAACATAAGAACAATAGGGGTTGAAGTAGAAGATTCACAGCTCACATGCCTATTAAAAAACCTTCAACAAAATCACAAAAAGATAAAAAAAAAACTTTTCTTACCTAAAAAGGGAGATGTCTATAAAGGAACACAAAGTTTACAGAGTACCATATAGATTGGGCTAGGAAACCTAGTCCCCCCCATATACATAATAATCTAAACACTCATATTTTTTGTTCAGGAACCTAGCATTTAACTATTGAGCAATCCTTTAATCACAGAAATCTTGAAAATCACAGGCAAATGGATGGAACTAGAAGAAATCACCCTGAGTTCGGTAGCCCAAGCACAGAAAGGCAAACATGGTATGTACTCACTCATAAGTGGATATTAGACATAGATCAAAGATAACCAGCCTACAACCCACAACCTCAGAGAAGGTAGGAAACAAGAAGGACCCTAAGAGAGACATACATGGTCCCCGGAGAAGGGGACAGTGACAACATCTCCTGAGAAACTTGGGAACACAGTGGGTGGGTGGGGAGGATGGGAGGAGAAAGACTAGAGAAGAAGGGGTGGGAGGAGAACTTGAGGGATTAGAAAGATGGAGTTGGGGGAAGAATAGAGGGGAGCAAGAACAAAGATATCTTAATAGAGGGAGCCATTGTAGGTTTAAAGAGAAATCTGGCACTAGAAAAATGCCCAGGGATCTATAAGGATGACCCCAACTAATAGCCTAAGCAATAGATGAGAGGCTGGCTACATTAAATGCCTTTCCTCTATAATGAGATTGATGACTACTTTTAATGCCATCATACAGCCTTCATTCAGTACCTGATGAAAGCAGAATCAGAGATTCACAGTCAAGCAATGAGCCTAACTCCTGGAATACAGTTATAGAGAGGGAGAAATGATCAGCAAAGGGGTTCAGACCATCCTAGCACAACCCACAGAAACAGTTGACCTGAGCAAATGGAAGTTCACAGACCCCAGTCTGACATCTGGGGAATCAGTATAGAACAGAACCAGATCCCCTGAATGTGGGTGTCAGTTGGGAGGCCCAGCAGTCTATAGGGCCTCTGACAGAGGAACCAGTATTTGTCCCTACTGCACGAATGGGCTTTGGAAGCCCATTCCCTATGGAAAAATACTCTCTCAGCCTAGATACACAGGGAAGGGCCTAAGTCCTGCCCCAAATGATGTGTCAGACTTTGATGATCCCTCATGGGAAGCTTCACCCTCCCTGGGGATTGGACAGGGAGTATGATGTGGGTATGGGAGGACAGGAAGAAGAGGGAATTGATATGTAAAATAAAATTGTTTATAATTTAAATAAAAATTATTTTAAAAATAATCAAAACAATCTCTCTGCCTGAACTCTTAGGGGAGTGCCTGGACCCTGCCCTGAGTGAAATGACAGACCCTGGATATCCCCTATGTGGAAGGATGTGGGGATAGAGTAGGAGGCTTGGGGAATGGTGGGAGAATGTAGGAGTAGTGGAGGGAGAGGGAACTGGGATTGACATGTGAAGCAAGCTATTTAAAAGTAAGTAAAGTAATAATAAAAAGAGAAAAGGGATAAATAAAACCATTTCAAAGAGAAAAATAAAAAAAGACCACAGATGCCATCCTAGACTTCTTGACCTAGCAAATGTAAACAACCTCTATCCACAAACCTGACCCTATACAATGTGCTAGAAGGAAAATTCCATTCTAGTATGGTTAACTACACCCATGAAAATGCAAGAAATATTTTCACATTAACAAAATAAAAAGAAGGGAAACACAAACACATATTCACTTGCATATACACACACACTACCACCATCATCATCAATGATAAAATAACAGGAATTAAGAGTCATTGGTCAATAGTGTACTTCAATATGACAGGACTCAATTACCCAATAAAAGGACACGGTCTAAAAGAATAGATGTAAAAACAGCCCCCATGCTTCTCCTGCATACAACAGGTAGATATTACCTCATAGTAAAGTGTTAGGAAAAGATTTTGCAAGAAAACTGGCCCAGGAATCAATGTGGTATAACATTCTAATATCTTTTTTGGGGGGGAATTCTCTGTGGCTTTGGAGGGTGTCTTGGAACTAGCTCTTTTAGATCAGGCTTGTTTCAAACTCACCAAGATCTGTCTGCCTCTGCCTCCCTAGTGCTGGAATTAAAGGCATGTGCCATCACCACCTGGCTCTGCAATTCTAGTATCTTACAAAATAGAATTCCAATGCAAATTAATCAGAAGAAATTGGAAAGGTCACTTCATACTCATCAAAGAAAAATCCACTAAGATGACATTGAATTCTTAGCATCTATGACCCAAACCCAAGGGCACCTGTGTTTATAAAGAAATTCCAATAAAGGATAAATGACACATTATTCTCACACCAGGACCAAGAGGTTAGATGACCCAGAGACCTAGGATAGAACTGGAAAAATACATAAATAATTGAAATGTTGTCTAATTATTTGAAAATGTGATGTTTAAGAACTTCTGGAGCTGGAGAGATGACTCGGTGTTTAATAGCACTAATAGCTCTTTGAGAGGTCCTGAGTCCAATTCCCAGAAACCAAATTGTGGCTCACAACCATTTATATTAGCATCTGATGTCCTCTTTTGTTATGCAGGGATAAATGATAATGGAGAACTAATACCTGAAAAATGTTGAAAGAAAGAAAGGAAGGAAGGAAGGAATAACGAACTTACTTCAGTGTTCCTTTTGTCTTAACAAGTAAATGTTGATGTTGGTACAAAAATCCTGTTATGCACATGTTCTCATAAACAATGGTATGAATTGGTGCATTGTAATGATAATTTTGATGGAATTGTGAAATTGAGATATAATAACTGATTAATTTCAATGATGATTGAAGCAGTATTATATACTGAATTCATTAAATAAAAAGAAAAGACAAATTGGCCAAGTCCTGTAAACAGGCAAGAGTTCCAACAGAGGGATTGAGACTCCAACCTAACCATATAATATTTGTCTACAGTCTTATGTGATGCCTTGGGATAAGGGAGGCTTAGAGATTGAAGGAGTGGTCAACCAATAACTTTTTCAGCCCGAACTCCATACCATTAGAGTAAGCCCAATCGTGGCATGACCTGGGGCACAAAGACCAACAGGATGGATAGCCCAGAGTAAAAGATAGAACCATACATGACTGGCAAAAAAAAGAGAGAGAGAGGGGGGAAGAGAGAACTGAATAGAGTTAACAAACATTGATCAGTGCTGTGATGATGTAATGAAGTACAAATACAGTTGACTAACAAAGATTCAAAAGTAAACCAATGTCTGAAGTCTCGAAAATTAGTGTTTCAGACTAATAATTCATTTATAGAAATTTTATGACCCTTGCTTTATATACCATCTTTGAAAATACCTATAGAATGCAACATTTAAAGCTTCCATTGAAGAAATAGGACACAATATGGAAAATGTAAAGTTCAAATAATAAGATCTTGGATTCGATATAAGGGCAATGGATAAATGGGAACTCAATTAATATTTGTTCTTCAAAAGACCCTAAAGACAATGGTGAGACAAATGTAATTATACCAAACTAAAACATTTCTGTCTAGCAAAGGAAACAAAAACTAGAGAAAAAAGCAAGACTTGCAAAATGGAAGAAAACTATTGAACTGACAATGAGGAATTCTGTAGATATTGTGTGTGGCATTGTAACTCAACAGCTATACTTACCAATAGGCAGATGAGAACTGGGAAACCATTCTAATGGTGACCTCTTTTAAAAATTAAAAATATGTCTGAAATAAATAGCAGGTATAAGCAAATCTGTTCAACATGAAAAATCACAAGGGAAATGAAAATTCAGATCACTCTGAGAGGTCATTTTATTCCAGTCAGGGTGGCTATTATTAAATTGTATAAAAAGTAAATGCTGTATATTGACAAGGGAAGAGGAACATAAAGAGCTTCTATGGGTGACTCTCAGCATTGTGAGCAAGAACATCTGGTTTCCTCCAAATAAAAGCAGAAGTTTCATGTGACAGGGTAAGTTCAAATCCAAAAAAAATAAGTAAGTCAGAATGATGGAAAGATTGTTCTACTACTGTATTTATTTCACAGCTAGTCATACTTGCCAAGAGAGAGAACTGGTGAAATAACCATGAGCTAATGGATAAAGACAGCATACTGTATTTAAATTGAGTAAAAATAATCATACCCAAAGATAAAGATAACCTTTGAAAATATGGAAATGGATGTTCATCAATTGTATCAACTGCAGAGTAAATACATCACCCGTTACTGGGAAACATGCCTTTCCAAAATGAAGTGATGTTCTCACCACAAAGCACTTTTCAGGAATGGTCCTCAGTGAAATATGTCAATTCAAAACAAAAAGAAAAAAAAAACACTTGTCACAACAACATACATCTTTGTACATTAAAAAAAATTTTTTTTGGGTTTTTCGAGACAGGGTTTCTCTGTATTGTTTTGGAGGCTGTCGGTCCTGCCCGGCCTCGAACTCACAGAGATCCGCCTGCCTCTGCCTCCCGAGTGCTGGGATTAAAGGCGTGCGCCACCACCGCCGGGCCTCTTTGTACATTTTAAATTAAATAACAATACTAACCTGGAAAGAGGGAACTATAGTCATTAAAGTATTTTACTCATGGAAAGGCTTATCTATTTCACTTCAAGTCTGCTGACCCTTAATAATTCCCCAAATGAGAATACCTAACCGTATAATATCTAGTACTGGGAGTAGGTATTTGAACTTTACCCTGGAAAACATTACATTTATCTACTCTGCATGTTTGCAGGCGCTGGGGCACATGGTCACACTGGCCATTTACAAAAAAAGGTATCAATACAAACTTATTTACAAATAGATGATTGATCTAGTAACCTCATAGTAGTACTGCAGACAATTTATTTGAAATCTATGAACTAGCCCTCTGGCTGCATGGTGAGAAGTGTTTGATGCCTCAGTTTGCAAAATGATATAGAATTTAATTCAGTGGTTAAAAAGGAATTCTGATACACTGGGTTAAACAAATTTGAAGCATTTTCAACATTTTATTATTCAGGATGTGCTCAAGAGATGATTGATAAGGATTATCTCTATGAAAGGAAACACACTCATTAGGAGTATAAACCACACACACACTGTGAAAATAACTGAATTACTGAGGTTTAAAATTTTGGTGGTTTGAACACCTGAAAGTATTCAGGATGGTTTGTTTTTCAAGTGTTTTCCTGAAATCAGTATTGTAATAAGAGGGTCTGTTGTAATTATTTTTTAATTAATAAAATGTTTGATTGTTGAAAAACTAAAGTGTATTCTGAAATGGTACGCCAGTATTTTGTTTTCATATCCTGAAACCTAGATTCAATGAATTAAGAATTTCTTCAAACTCTGGGGCAGTTACTTGTATTGTTAATTTAAAAATGAAATGAAATGAGCATAGGATAGACTTCCTAGAGCCATTTGTAAATGTATGCATGTGTGTATGTGTGTGTGTGTATGCATGTGTGTGTCTTTTTAATGTACTGCTGTATGTCACACAACAAAATATAAGAATCTAGGAGTAGAAGAGACAGATGGGTAGTAATTTGCACTTACATATGTTGCAGAAAATGACTTCCAGTACTACAGCTTCAGTGGTTTGGATGTCCTCTGGGCTTAGGCAGGTACCTGGTCTCACAGGTTCACAATCCACACACAGACATACATGTATACACACTGTATATGAACATTATATTTGTGTATATATTATACATATGTACATACATAAAATATGGGGACAGTCAGGATTTTATCTCCAATTTCTCTAGCATTTTAGGCATTATATTTGCATTACAGAGCTTATAATGCTCCCTAAAGTTGACTGCTGAAGTCTACTATCTATCAACTGAAAGTGATAAACAGTGTCAGAATCTAATTTAAAAGTCACAGAATCTTGTATGATTCTTATTTCAGAAAAATAAAAATGAAATTTTAACTATTCATAAAACTCTGTGCTGTCTGCAACTGAATAACAAAATCTTAAATATATTTCTAATATTAATACATGTTAGGGCAGTATACTCCATTATTTGCTTGCAATCTCATGAACATTATTTTGAAAAGTAATTCTGCACTGTGCTTTGTTTAGTTGGCCAATTCCCATAATTGATAGAATACTTCTTGGGATTGAATGAATTTGAAATAAATTAATTTGAGGCCTAAATTTCTCAGTACATGTATCAAGGACTTTTATTTGTTATATTTCTGGTCAAGTAAAAGAATATAAATATCATATTTACCAGCAGATGGGATGACTATACAGATTTATACAGGTATAATCTACTATATTATGTACTAAAAAGCATGTGTGTGTGTGTGTGTGTGTACTTGTGTGTAGCTGTATGTTTGTGTCTGTATGTACATGTCTGTCTGTATGTGTGTATAAGTATCTATGTATATGTGTAGGTTTGTCTGCGTGTATGTATGTGTATATGCTTTTGTGTGGTTGTATGTGTGTTCATGTATGTGTGTGTATGTATGAGTGTGTGTCTATGAGTATATGTGTATATATGTTTGTGCGTGTGCATGTGTGTATGTATGTTAGTTAGGAGTTCTATTGCTGTGATAAAATATCATGACCACAAGACAAGCTGAGGAGGAAATAGTGTATTTAGCTTATACTTCAGAATCGCTGCTCATCACTTTAGGAAGTCAGGACAGGAACTCAAGCAGGGCATGATCCCAGGAGCAGGAGCTGATACAGAGGCCATGGGGTGGGGATTGTTCCTTACTAACTTGTTTCTCATGGCTTTCTCTGTCTGCTTTATTAATAGAACTCAGGGCTAGCAGCCCAGAGACGTTACCGCCAACCATGGACTGTGCCCTACTGCATTGATTACTAAATAAGAATATGTCTTACAATTGGATCTAAAGGCGATATGTCCTCAGCTGAGGCTCCTTCCTCTGATGAGTCTATCATGTTTCAAGTTGACATACAAAACTGCCAAGTACAGTGTGTATGTGTGAGTTCATGAGTGAGTACATGTGTGTGTGCATGGGTGTGTGCATGTTTCGGTGTGCATGTGTATGTATGCATGTGTCAGTGTGTCTGTATGTGTGTGCACATATGTGCATATGTGTATATATGTGTGTGTTTGCATGTGTATGTATGTATGTATGTATGTATGTGTGTGTGGGTGAATGTGTGTGAGGTATATGACACATGCATATCACAGCATGAGTACATGCTCCTGTTCAGATAGATGAAGAAACCCAAGCAGCACACTGGGAGGGTCTTCTTTTTTTCTTTTGCTTCACTGCTTTGAGACAGGGTCTCTCAGTGAACAGAAGCTCACCATTACAGCTTGGATGCCTGACCAAGGAGATCTCTGGCTTCATCTTCTGTGCTCCTCTAATATTTGGGGTTACTGTTTATTCGTGTGGGTTCTGGAGTTTAGAACTCTGGTACTTGCTCTCGTAGAGCAAATAACTTTTCCACTTACCCATATCTCAATACCCAGAACATGCTTTAAAAAATAGAGAAGAGCTAAAAAAATAAAACCTCCTGTTTTTTATCCTACTGTCAATGAATTTCTAGTTATTTTGCTTTAAAAGTGACTAGCAAATATGTACCAACAGCTTGTCATGATAGCATGCCTTTCCACTATGATAGATTGGGAACTCTTTCTTTTAATTGATTTACTCAAGTATGGTTCACATAACACTATTTGGTAAGATGAACAATGTCATCTTGCTTCTATCTCAAGGCATAAATTCAACAATTTTAGCATGTATTTACTTTTGGATTGCCCATAATCATTCCTTTGGGAGATATTATGGATTCTTTGTACCAGTTATTAAAGACAATATACTTAGAATTAATACATATGTTTTTGTCATGACATTCATCCACTCACAACACTATATTTAAATACATTAAATTTCCTAGAGCAAATCCCAACTTTCCTACTCTATGTATTTCCTCATACTAAAATGTAACTTTTAATAGTTACTATTAAATCCTGTGCTGCATTTCACTAGGCAATGATCTAGTTGTTTTCTATGTTTCTCATGAATTATGTCATTCATCAGATTCCCTGACTGATGTCATCAGGGTTGTGATTTTCTTATTTCACTATGTCTATACTGTTTTATGTGTGTGACTAATAGGATTGCTTTATAACTTTTAGCCTAAAAATAGTAAGGAGTAAATTGGCAGTAGAAGGACATGATGTTTGTATTCACTCGTACTGCTTACTAACAATGCCTACTTGGATTAAAGATTTACGTGAACTTAATGTTTTTAAATTCATTGATTTTAAAATAAGAACATTTTGCAGCATTTTAAATTATATTTTGTGCTCTAAGAAATCTATGTGCATATTCAATGTTAACAGGCATCACAGAGCTCTATTTCAATCTCCCTCCTATAGCTGATATCCAAGAATAGCATTTCCAGCTGGTTTAGTTGTTCTTTTTTTTCCTTCTCATTTCTCTAAGTAAGAATTTTGTGCTTCCCAGTGTCTATTGTTCAGCAGGAATCATTATCTATTCATTTATTCACAATGAGTGATTTCAACCACAATATAGGTACTTACATTCACACAACCCTACACATGTATATCATAATTAGGTTTTAATTAGATTTATATTGTCAATGTGCATAGTATCTTAAGGAAAGTATGTGCTTTGCCATTATATTTGTTAGCTTGCATACTGCTACTTCTGTTCCAGAATTAATAATTTTATTGTAATCAGTTTTACTTTTATTTATTTTTATTTATTTTTATTTATTTTTATTTATATATTTATTTACTTTTATTTATTTTTGCAGTAGCATCTTGATTATAATTGTAAAATGTCCCTTCAATGCATTCACACATTACATGAATTTCATGTCATTGATAAAAATCTCTCCTCAACCTGTTCCAGTCTGTTACTTTTTCACCTGGTAAGCATTGTCATTCTGGGACCTATTTTCCTCATTCGGTGGAGCCATTAATATTTGATGGGTAGATATGAATATAAATAAAGGAGTGGTGTCTGCATCAGCCCACTTACCCTGCAGAGAGTGGGTTATGTGGAACAGCAGAGAAGACACCTAGAGGTCATTCATACTTGTGTAGTGAGTGAGACATTCATTTGGACAGACATTATTTCCCATGTCCTGCATGGAGAATGTTGGCTGAAGTACTAACTTTCTCAGAGGCTGCTGCATGCTTCACAGTCATTCTTTCAGAGCTCAGCTTGGTGAGATCTGTTTGCCAACTTGTCAGGTGTCCAACACTATGCAGTTATGATTTCCTCTCTAGGCTTCTATTGGGATGAGAAAACAGCAGTCTCTTGCTTATTTATCTAAATAGGAGAAATAAATCTAAGTGTGCTTGTGAATACAGACATAAATAAATATATATATACATATATGTATATGTATATATATATACTGTTAGAGGTTGCAAACACCAAACATTACACAGAATTTAAGGAGACTTGTCAAAGTATTCCATGCAATAGAAGCAGAAGGGTCTTTGCCAAACTCTTTTTATAAGGCTTCAATGACCTTGATACCCAAGTCACACAAAGACAAAACTAAGAAAGGGAACTACAGACCAATATCCCCTCATGAACAATGATGCAAAAATACTCAATAAAATACTGGCAAATAGAATCCAAGAACACATCAGAAAGCTCATCCACCATGATCAAGTAGGTGTCATTTCAGGGATACAGGGATGGTCCATCATACAAAAATCCATCAATGTAATCCACCATATAAAC